TACCTGCCCCACATAGGGTTCAAGATTTTGAAAAATAAAACGCTCAAAGAAGTGGACACAAAGTGAAGGAAGTAACCAATGTAGTCGAAACCTGACACATAGTAATATTTATATGATACTAGATGGCCATTTGATGGCTAGATGGCTTTTAATCTTTGATGCGTATTTTTTGATGCATAATAAATCACAGATCTGACTTATATAAACGGGACATTTTTGATTATAAGTAATGACGCCATTATAATTACTCCAATTTTGATTATAAGTAATGACTTGATATTCATGGCAAAAATTATAATTACCGTCGGTTTTAAATATTTTGAATAGCCTGATCTGATTTTTCAGCTATATGCTTTAATTTGAGTGTTAAATACCTATATGATAAAGAACATCTATAATAGCCCCATGTGAAAATTCAGCTCAATTTTTGATATTGTAAAAAGCATTCAAATGAGCTGTAATTTGAAATTTGTATTTCCAACGTTTGAAATCCCGTACTGCGTGGTATTCAGTTTTGTCCACCTCATACTTGAAGGCAGAATGTTGTCAGAATGGCCAAAAAAATTTCTCTTTTGCTCCGATTACCGTAAGATGGGCATTAATTGTTTGTCAGTTAAATTGTGCGGCGGAGATCCAATAAAGTTACATTATTATTTCGTATTTTTTCATGTTTCTGCCACAATTTCCGACTGAATGAGTCCCAGATTGACATTTCGGAGTTTATTTCATATAGACGTACATCCCAAATCTACGTTCCCAACCAATATTCTCTTGGGGGTTACAAATTCAATAGAATACCAAATTTTCTTTTCTGACCACACATTGGTTGGGAAAGTGGACTTGGGGATATACTAATGTGGGGACTATACTTAAATAAATTCATATGAGGATAATTATCTGTAAGATGATTTTCTACCCCAGGGTTTTTTACCCCAGGTAGCCTCAAGACTAAGATGCGCACTTTTCCGAAAAATAAAAATTTATAAGAAGAGGTTTTCTTCCCCCTTAAAAAACAAAGGGCCAAAAAATGAAAAAAGTGGCCAAGACCCCGAAAATACCTCAAATCATATACCAAAACGTGATAATTTTTTTCAAAGATGGTTTCTTCTTAAATTATTAACATAAGCTAAAATTAGTACGAAAAATATGGTTAAAATGTAGAATATACTTGAAATCGTGTTGTTCCGTTATCAGGAGTTATGATCCATATCATGACCTGCCATAGGGATTAAAGGTATCTTGAATGTTTAGGTAGAATTTCTATTTTGCGTTCTTTATAGTCTTTATAGACTGATTGCAGTCCCAATGTATTTTGCATTTTGTGTTCTCATTTGACAATTTATTGTCATATGAAAGAAGCAGGTCCACTTTTTGAAATTAACCCCATAACGCTTCTTCGGTCATTTTTGTTTGTTTAAATGTGTTCGCATCTTCCAGCTGAAGCACGATGTAGGTCCTGGAGTAGAATGCATTTAACATCGTATTGCGCCCTCATTTCATTTTTAATATTATTCATTCAGAATTCAAAACAATAAAAAATGTACACTTCAATATAGAAAAAAGAAAAAGAATCTTCAACTGGTTCGCTGATTTTTTTGCGGCAAATTTTTAAAGGTGATTACCGATGTTTGTCGGTAGAATGCACTATTATTTTGCAATTCGATTCCATTGAAAAATTGTCGATTTTTCCCGATTTTAGAATTTTCATATAAACGACAACGGATAAAATTGTTATTTATAGATTTTATGTATTTATTGTGTATTACGAATAAATACATAAAATCTATAAGAAACAGTTTTATCCGTTGTGGCTTTATATAACCCAAAAAACCTACACATCATATTAGAATTCAAAAAAAAAAAAATAGTAAGTCAAAATGGAAAAAATATGCAATATAAAACATTACTATTGTACATTTTAAAAGTCAAAATGAGAATGTTCAAATTTCACATTTTTACGCTATTTTTATACCCTACACCACAAGGTGGTTAGGGTATTATGTCTTTTTGCATTTGTTTGTAACAGGCAGAAGGAAACGAGATAGACCCATAGTTCCTTTTGATGATCTGCATAGAATCACATTCTAAGTCGATTTATGCATGTCCGTCCGTCCATCTGTCCGTCTGTCCGTCCGTCCGTCTGTCCATGTATTTTTGTAAACAAAGTACAGGTCGCATTTATTGCCCTACCCAGATGAAATTTGGCACAAATCATTTGTTTGGCCCAAGGACGAACCCTATTGAAATTGGAGATAATCGGTAAAAATTTAGATATAGCTCCCATATATATCTTCGTCCGATTTGCCTTTTATTGTGCACCAAACGTGTAATATCAGCCCGAATTGTATGGAATTTTGCATATACACCCAAATTAGGCCTGAAAATATGTGTGCCAAATTTGATCGAAATCGGTTCAGATATAGCTATAGCTCCCATATATATTTTTCATCCGATTTGTTATTTTTGTCCACCGCCGCCGTAATATGCACTCTGTAACAACAATATTTGGGGAAATATATCAAATGCAGCTCAGAAATACCTTTGCTAAATTTTATCGAGATCGGTTCAGATTTGGATATATATACCATATATAACTTCGTCCGATTTACCTTTTATTTTGCACCAAACGTCTAATATTTGTCCAAATGGGATGGAATTTGGCACTTACGACCGAATTGAGTCCAGAAGCTAGTATGTCAAATTTGGTGAAGATCGGTTCAGATATAGCTATAGCTTCCATATATATTATTCATCCGATTTGTTACATTTGTTACCCACAACCGTAATATGCACTCCGTAACAATGATATTCAGGAAAATATATCAAATACAGCTCAGAAATATCTTTGCCAAATTTTATCGAGATCGGTTCAGATTTGGATATAGCTCCCATATATATCTTTATCCGATTTCAAATTAATTGTGCACCAAATGGGCAATACAATTCCGAATATAAAAGATACAAATGCTTCGGCATATTTAGTCCTTTGAACTTTAAATTATAATTATAATCATAGCGTGTATGATTGAATTCTCCCATAAAAACTTTTAATTGTTATGTGGAGCTCTACTTAATTAGCAGAGTGGAGTAGGGTGTCATAAAGTCGGCCCCGCCCGACTTGAAGACTTTCTTTACTGTTTTTTTTTTTTGATTTTATTCTTTTCTGCCAAGAGGCAATTCCGAATTTGTCTAAATCGTTAAAATCAGACCGGCGGTCTTTATGTTATAAGAGTAGTAACTAACACAACTTTCTTTTACATATAGAGAGATAGATTTAAAAGTAGGCACGTTCTTCAGCCCCTAAATAAGTACTTAGGGTTGGATGGAAAGCCAACAGCGTCTCGTGTAATAATTCTCAAACCGATTTCTTCACTATTTTGGCAAATATAAAGATTTTAGATAAATCGTAATAGTGGGCGTAAAAGGAGGCGTGGTCAATATTTTTTTCTTTAAAAACCTAACTCGGGGTATGACGAACGTTTGTACAAAACATTATGCAAAACGGTCCAGCCGTTTTCAACTGATTCCGTTACCAACAAACAACAATTGATTTATATATATATAGACTTTTTATGTCCGATACGAAATGGACAATATTGGGCCATTTCTTTCCATAGAAGGGCGAAAATTTAATTAAACATAACAGAAGTCAAAATATATTTAAATAATCGAAAATTGGCTGAGGGTATCTGTCGGCTAAACCGGCTGATACTTTTTAACTTGTTTTTACTTTTAATTAAAGAATGTCTTCGTGTTTTACCGCATATTCTCAAATTTTTTCCTCATTAAATGGTTCCTGTAGCTAGTGTCATATTATATTTCGCTATCACATAATTGGATTTCAATTATACTTACTAAACAGTTCATTTGCTTCCCTTTAAATAAATAAAATAAAGTAGTTTTTTTTTCGTATAAAAAATGAATGTTTGTTTTTATTTAATAATCGTTAATGTTAATTAATTATCCGTTTTATTTTCAGCTGACTTACAATAGCGGTTCTCATTTAATAAAAATGACATTTAAATATCATAAAATCTTATCATGGTTGTTGGTTTCGTTTTTTTTTTTGTTTTTATAAATAATTATTATTTATATGTATATGTAATAAACATGTACGTTCATACAAATAGATGGATAATGTAATTGAAATTTTAAAAATTTTGTAAAACGCTATATCGGTATTAATACATGTATTGATGTCATCTCCCAAAGGGAGGTGATTTTTTATGTAATCTATTCGTTATTGGTTGAATTGAATTTTTTCTCTCAGTAAAATCGTGTGTGTCTGTGGCAGTACAACAGTTACATACAAATATTATTATGTTTTGCATAGATATTGTGCTGATTTATATCAAAAATTAATAAAAATGGCAGTTTTCCTTTTGTAAGCATAATAAATAATATATTTATGTGATTTAATTGAAAAAAGAAATTGCTATACACACACAAATCGTACACCTTTCGTACATGTAATTTGGTTTTGTTTTAAATATAGTTGATGTTTTTTGTTTAATAATTAATTAATATGATTAATGTGTATGTACAATGCAACATAGAGTGATTTTTTTTTTCTTGCCGAGTTTCTAAATAGGAATCAAGTGAAAATGTTAAATTATTTATTGTTGTCGTTAATGCTATATAGTGTGGTAATAATAATTAATTTAAATTATATTCATGAATCATAGTATGTAGTAGTTTTTCTTCATTTTGTTTTAAATACTGTGAATTTTGATGTTGTTATTGTTACTTAAATCTATTAATACATATTATTTGTTATTATTTTATTTTATTTTCTTAATTTTTTAATTGAGTATTAAATACATTAATTTTGCTTTCAATTATTACTTACTAAAAATATCAATACTTTGGACGTTTGTTAAGTTAATATTTTTTGATTCGTTTTTTTAATGTGTTTTTAGTTAAAAGTTATATACAACCATTGATTTTTTATCTTATCATTAGTGTGAATTATTTAAAAGCCTCTTAAATTTTAAATAAAATAATTTGTTTTCGGTATTTTTACATTTTACACCTTTTATATTGGGATGGAGGTTATACTCTCTTTGAAATAATCACGCCTATAACCCGGAAGAATTGAGAAGAACGGCTAAAATAATGAACAAGTAAAAAAGCAGTTAATTTCGTCCGGGCCGAACTTTTAACACCCTCCACCAATTGGAAAGACCTTGAAAATTTTCAAAAAACTTCCGGAATCTACCACTTAAATGAAAACTGACTATACGAAAACGTTTTTGTCATAGGCTGTAGTACCCATTTCGAACTTTGAATATGAAATTTAAAATGATTCCGATAAATAATGTCGTAAAAATCATGAAAATACTGAATATTGGTAGGTACCGTTATATAGGGGCTATACGAAGACGTGGATCTGCATACGATTTTTTCCATAGGTTGTAGTAACCATTAAGATCTCCCAATACGAAATTTGAAACGATTGCGGCGAATAATGTTGCTGAAATCATCAAAATACCGGGAGCTACTGTTATATGGGGTGCTATACGAAGTCGTGGAACTGCATACAAAAATGTTTGTCATAGGCTGTAGTACCTATTACGAATTTTAAATATGAAATTTGAAATAATTCCGGATATCGGGAGGTACTGTTATATGGGGGCTATACGAAATTGTGAACCGACATGGCTCATTTACGAACTTAACCTGCCTACTGGTAAACTAAGCATTTATGCAAAATTCTATCTCAATTCGTTCGAAAGATAGCGTGATTACAAAAGACAGACAGGCGGACATCTTTAGATCGTCTTAGAATTTTACGCTGATCCAGAATATATATACTTTGTAGGGTCTAGTATGAATATTGCGAGGAGTTACAAACGGAATGACAAATATAATGAACTGACCGACTGATCTAGAATCAACGCCCAAACGAAACGGCCAAAGCTAGAATCTTGAAATTTTGCATGAAGGTCAGCCTTGGTGCGTAGGAGGATAATAAGACCGTGTTTTCCGGAAATTCGCACTAAAAGAGTACGACAAGTACCAAAATTTACTTAAAAATTAATACTTTGCATTGTACAAACGGAAAGGGTTTTTGAAAATTCGAACTATAAGGTTACGAAAAGTCCTGAAACGGTACTAAATTTCTAAAATGGTACCATTTGGTATTATGTGCACTGGAAAATAAGTTTGATATGTGAATGTGGATTTGGAAATGTGTACTAGGTGTGCGAACTGTACTAAATGGTACTAGATTTGGAACAGTTTGTTGATTAGTGTGAATGGATGAAGCTAGAATTTTATATTGGGGTCCCTATTGCTGGTAGGTTTGTGATAAAAAGGTTGTTTTGTAAATGGGTACTACATGTGCACGAAAAATACAAAATAGTTCTATACTTGGAAACATTTGGTATTGGGTGAAGAGATAGTTTTTGAAATCCGAAATTTGGTATTAGGGTCGCTGTTCATGTGAAGGAATAGGAATAGTACTGAATGGTACTATATTTGGTACTAGGTAATGGGATAGAGATAAAATTTAGAAATTTAATACTTAGATTAATGCTTCCTATATTTGTACGAAAAGTATTAAATTGTACAAAATTTAATATTGGATGATGGAAAAGAGTTTTTTTATTAAAATGTTATATTGAGATTACAGTTGGATCTTTAGCAGAGATATGGAGGTGGTTTTGGAAATATGTGCTATGTGTATTTTTCGTACCTAAGTGGTACTATATTTGGCATTTTGCTGGTATCTGTGTTTGAGATTCGGCGGTGGTTTGGAAAAGTACACTAAAATTGTACGAAAAGTACTAAATGGTACCAAAACGTGAATGGACTTGGAATCCCAAAATTTGATATATATGTCACTGTTGGTGTCTGTGATTAAAATATGGAAGTGGTTTTGGAAATTTGTAATTATTCGAAGAGTACTAAGTGGTACAAAATTTAGTATTCTGCAATTTGATATTGAAGTCTCTTTTGGTATTAATGGTTGAGAGAAGGTGCTGATTTTTATAATTGCATTAAATTGTACTAAATTTGGTAATGAAATTCTGAAATTTTTGTATCGAAGACTATGACGGTATCCGAAATTGAAATCTGAAGGTGGTTTAGGAATTTTAGACAATATTTGTACGAAAAGTACTAAATAGTAATAAATTTGATATTGAGTGAAGGGATAGGGCCGAAATTCTGAAATTTGGTATTGGGGTTAGTATTGGTGTCTAGGGAGGAGTGAAAAGATGAGTTTAAACATGCGTTGTATGACTGTACGAAAGATATGGTAATAAATTTGGGATTGGGTCTTGGTTTAGAACTGGAATTCTGAAGTTTGATATGGAGTCCTATGTTGCATTGTGCATAGTTGTGTGAGAAATAGGTTGATTTTGGAATGTGCACTAAATTTTTCGAAAAGAACTAAATGGTATTAAATTAGCCATTGAGTGAATGGGCAGAGCTTGAATCCTAAACTCTGATCTTGAGGTCACTATTTGTTTCTACGATTTAGATATGGCTGTGGCTTTTTTTTATTGTGTAAAGACTTTGAAATAGTTCTGGCCAGAAAAATTGGAAGTGGAATATACTCTTCGGGAAACTTCAAAACGAAAGACCTTTTCCAAAAATGCACAACTTGAATATGAATAAAATGTTATTGCACTGGTGCAGCTGAAAAACAAGTAAAGAAAGTCTTAAAGACGGGCGGGGCCGACTTTATGATACCCTACACCATTTTGCTAATTTAGTAGAGCTCCGCATAAAAATTAAAAGTTTTTATGGGAGATTTTAATCATACACGCTATGATTATAATTATAATTTAAAGTTCAAAGGACTAAATATGCCGAAACATTTGTATCTTTTAAATTCGGAGTTGTATTGCCCATTTGGTGCAAAATTAATTTGAAATCCGATAAAGATATATATGGGAGCTATATCCAAATCTGAACCGATCTCGATAAAATTTGGCAAAGATATTTCTGAGCTGTTTTTGATATATTTCCCCAAATATTGATGCTACGGAGGGCATATTACGGCTGTGGGTAACAAATACAAATCGGATGAACAGTATATATGGAAGCTATAGCTATATCTGAACCGATCTCCACTAAATTTGACATACTACCTTCTAGACTAAATTCGATCCTAGGTACCAAATTTAATCCCATTTGGACAAATATTAGACGTTTGGTGCACAATATAAGGTAAATCGGACGAAGTTATATATGGGTGCTATATCCAAATCTGAACCGATCTCGATAAAATTTGGCACATGTATTTCTGGCCTGTATTTGATATATTTCCCAAAATATTGTTGTAACAGAGTGCATATTACGGCTGCGAAGGACAAAAATAACATATCGGATGAACAATATAAATGGGAGCTATAGCTATATCTGAACCGATTTCGATCAAATTTGGCATACTTATTTTCAGGCCTAATTTGGTTGTATGTGCAAAATTTCATACGATCCGGGCTAATATTACACGTTTGGTGCACAATAAAAGGCAAATAGGACGAAGATATATATGAGAGCTATACCTAAATTTTGACCGATTATCTCCAATTTCAATAGGGTTCGTCCTTCGGCCAAACAAATGATGTTTGCAAAATTTCATCTGGATAGGACAATAAATGCGGACATGCATAAATCGACTCAGAATGTGATTCTATGCAGATCATCAAAGGGAACTATGGGTCTATCTCGTTTCCTTTTACCTGTTACAAACAAATGCACAAAGACATAATACCCTGACCACCTCGTGGTGTAGGGTATAATTAGTACGATGCATAAACTTTTGTTTGGAAAATTTGTCCATCAAATAATGAACAAATTGTTCATTTTAAGATGGACTTTTCACTAACGGAGTAGCGGGTACTTGCCTGTGATAAATACACTTATAAAATCGAATAGGATTACTTTATTATTTTTTGCTACTGGCAATGTAGTGGGTATGTGGGTGTCATTTTCTTGGTTTACTGGTATCTTTTGATGTATGGCAATATGACCCTAAAAGTTCCTGTAAAATTAAAAAATCAGGCTTTTCAGACATAGAGGGTACTCGGGAACAAAGTGAAATAATGTAAATTCAGCTGCGGTATAAAGGAATGTGACGAGATTTTTGTAAAAAAAAACTAAATTCGAAACTCGAAATTTGATTTCGAAAATCATAATAGTCATAATTTATGTCTACCACACAGTTAGAACACCTCCTATAAACTATTCTTAATACAGTATTTCCTTTTATTCATTTTAAGAATATATTCCCAATTTTAAATGTTAAGAACTTATTTGACTTTCTACTGCTTGCAAACTTTAATAAAATGTTCAAAATCCTCTACTGAACATTTTTTTTCAAAGTATTAAAAAGCACCAGCAAAAGAAATTTCCTCCAGAAATGTTTCATTAAGACCAAATAAATATTTTAATTTCTTACAGAGAAAGAAAAAAACTAGAAGACAAAGCATAGAACGTGATGTTTGCAAGTAATGTTCATTACATTCATTTTAATTCTGCGCTTACTACACAAAGATTTGCTTCCGCTTAAAACGTTCTTTTTTTTTGTTTCATTCGGTGTGTAGCTTTCTTTGTTCAGTTTTTATGTTATACGCACTGAATGTGATGTTGGCCTTAATGAAGCATTCGCCAACAAGGAAATCGAATAATAGCAGTTTGAAACAACAAAACAATATAGCTCGCGATAATCGTTCTGACCGGTCAGTAGATTTTAATTTTGAAGATATAGGGTAATCCATTTTTGGTAAGAATTTTCCAGAAAAAAAGTTATTCGTGCTGGAATTTAAGTGTGATAGTGTGATCTCTTTAAATTTGGCTGGAAAATAACATTACAATTAGCCAATTAAATTTGGCTATCGTTAGAGCACTCCAACATTTAAATGTGAATTAATCTTTTTGTGTATCGTACCATCGCTCATTACCATGATACTGGTAGCGTAGCCCGACATCACGGTAGTGGACGGAATAAAACAGAAATGGTTCAAAAAGTAAAGAAGCGACTTCATCGAAACTCGGGTGGCAGTGACCGAAAAAATGGTTAGTGAGCTGATTCGCAATATTCCAATATTCCATACGGCAAATATTGAAAAACGAGCTCGGAGTAAAGCCATTGAAATTCCAAAAAGTGAAAGAATTTATTCCGCAAAAGAAAGAAAATAAACTCAAAAGAGCTAAGGAGTTGCTTCGCTTGGCCGAAAGTGGTGAACTGCCGAATTTTGTTTTCTCCGATGAAAAAACACTCGTTTTCCAGCAGTTTGTAAACAAACAAATGATAGTGTTTACTTGCCGAAGAGGTCAGCTGAAAATATGCACCTTCGGTTGGCCATCAGAACTCAAGCGCCGGCCATGGTGATGGTGTGGGCCGCCATAGCAGCCGTTGGTCGCTCTCCGCTCGTATTAATAGACCGTGGCATCAGAATACATACCGAATAATATCGCGAAAATATTCTGAGGGTGTATTAAAGCCTTGAGCAAGCAAACATTTTGGCGGTAGACCTTGGGCATTCCAACAGTACTCAGGGCGCGCACCCATTAATGTTTACAAAATGAGGTTCCTGAATTCATTTCCAGCGCAAAATGGCCACCAAAATCACTGGATACCAACCCGTTGGACTATTGTGTCTGGAGAATTTTGAAAAGCAAAGTTGACACTAAAAAATGCCAAAGTGTCGACCACGTCAAGCAAGCGCTTCGCCCGGAATGGGCCAAAATACCGCAGAGAAACATTTGTGCAGCGTGTGACGGTTTCATTGGCCGTTTGAAGGCCATAATTCGTGCCAAAGTTGACCAATTCGAACAAATCTATACATATTCTAAAATGATGCTATTTCCGAACCTTTTTTTGCTTTCATTCAATAACATTTAAAAAAATGTAATAATTATGGCGTTTGACTTTGTTGCAGTTTTTTTTAACCCACCCTGTACAGGTCGCAATTATTGTTCGAACTTATATTTAAGATTTAAAATGGACCAAAAACCTAAAAAATGTCTTGATTTTCCAGTTGCCCTAGTGTTCTTGACTAAGGTCGAACAGATGTGGGATTGTTTTTGAGGTTATAGTTTAGGATAGCGCTGAAGCATTTTAAATGGCTATCGGATAATTGTTTTCCACAGTTTTGTGTGGAAACATACGAAAATTACAGAGATCACAAATACATGAGAGGAGCAAATCTGACCTTCACATTGATGATGATTTTATTGGTGAAAATAGCCAAATATTGGAGGCACAGACATCATATAGAGGAACCTAATTTTTCAAATATTGCTTTGAATACCCATTTACACGACATGGGGGTGGGTTTGGTCTAAATCCAAGTTAAAACTTGTGCATGACAATGTGAACGTCGGATTTGTCAAATACCGATTGTTCCAGATATATGAACATTTGAAAAGAGTAGCAATTAGGTACAACACTTGCTATAGATATCTGGATGCTTCTTAGTGAATCTCCATTCAATGTTGTAGGATATCGAATGGTTGGCCCCGCCCCACTATAGCCTGTGCTTACTTTTTATACTCTCAGCCATGTAGCTACCAGAGGTTATATATCATTTGATATCGGCAAAACGTGCTTCATCGGAATAACTCTTTTAGACCCTATGTCTCTTTCGACCGATTTGGTCCAGATTTGGCGTCGTTATGTTATTATCAAACTTAGATGGAGTTTGGAGATGGGTAATACCGGTACACCCCTTCAATATTCGCAATATTCACAGGTCAGTTTAAATCTCTCCTCTGAGTGAACATTAAGCTTTACTGAAACATTGAGCTCACCAAAGAACACTTGAAGTAAATATTTCCCTTTTGTTTTCTTCGAATAGTTACAAACCAAATATCAGACTTGGCATATCCTCCATCCAATGCAGCAAGTGATGAAAAGAACATCATTACAGAAGGAAAAAAAGATATTCATTTAAATGAAAATAAAACGTTTGTGTTTACATCGTATTGCGTCCTGCTGACTAATAGTTTACGTTTCCTTTCCTGTTTCCTTTTCTGTATATTTTATTTTTCTTTTTCTTTTCATTTGATAATATTTACATGTTTCTTACGATATTTTCTATTTTTTTTTTCTTCATTTTCCATTTCATTACTGTTGATGCTGTTGCAGCCAGCGCTTACAAAACACCGTGGGAGGGGGCACGCCGGCCAATGTTTCTTGATTTTCATGCTGAATTTGAAGTTGATAGGTCGACAAATGCTGTGGCATTTGGCTCGGCTGTAGTTGGGATGGTTGTTGTTGTTGTTGCTCCACATCTGGTATGCTAATGGTGGCCACCTGTATGGGTATGTGGAGCATCGTTGCTGGTGGGTGCTGTTGTTGCTGATGATAATGCTGCTGCTGTTGTGGCGGCGGCGGCTGATGCTGCTGCTGCTGCTGAAGAGGCCTTAGTAAGGGCGGCGGCTTAGGCGGTGGAAGTACCAATTGTGGGGCCGGTTGTTGCAAATTAAAATTCATTAATTCTCACAATTCTGTACTCATTTCACCTACGATTGTGCTCTGTACCATGGACCAAATTAGAGCAAGGAAAGAAGAGAAAAGAAAAAAAGAAGAAAAAATGGAAATGAGAAATGTTGAAATACATAATTAATAAATGTTTTTGCTGCATAAATAAATGGAATTTAATTTATGCTGAAATATTATTTGTTTATGTTGTTAGTATTTATTTTAATAATTTGCTGAAAAGATTAATTCTTTGTTAATGGAAGAAAAAACGAAAACAAATACAAATTAAAAAAAATATTAATGGTTTTTTCTAAGGATCTACTAACATTTGTGTGCTGCTTGGGATGTGGCAAGGTAGAGGTGTGAATAATAAGCTAATGTGTTTTCTATAAAGCAATTTAAATTATGTGGTTTTAATAATAATTTATCATGGATTAGATTTAATGGATTTTAAAACAGTTCTGGTGAAATTATAGTGTCCTATTTTAAATTCGAAGCATAATATTGGAGGACCTAATATAAAAAAACGTAGGGGAGGACTGTGTTTTATTGATACTGGCATTAATTTAATACGAAGGTTACATTATTTGTGTAAAATTGCATAAAAATGACTTTAACAGGACAATTTATACCATTCATAACAGAATTAGAGTATAAGTATTTTCTGTTATACATAAAAGAAATGGAATAGGATAAGGTGGGATATCTTAATATTATGAATGCTACTTTACTATTCACAGTGTGGAGGCCACTTGTTATTTTGTGTTTTTCTCAAAGAAAATATTTTTTGTTAAACATTCTTAAAATCAATTTAGCAACACTATGCGAAAAAAAATTACGGGGAAAAATTCAGCAGATTATGAAAATAGAGCTAAAGAGAAGACAGGTGCATCGGTATTTTGCAAGTTTATATCTAAACGTAACCAAAATATTGGCGGCAAGTTCCTTGAAACCTGTGAATTTTAGGTATACAGTGTATTCGGCAATACAGCAGATAGAAATACGATAAATATTTTGGTCGGAAACTTGAGTCAACAAAGGGGTTTTTTCTGTTTTTATACCCTACACCACAAGGTGGTCAGGGTATTATGTCTTTGTGCATTTGTTTGTAACAGGCAAAAGGAAACGAGATAGACCCATAGTTCCTTTTGATGATCTGCATAGAATCACTTTCTGAGTTGATTTATGCATGTCAGTCCGTCCGTCTGTCCATGTATTCTTGTGAAAAAAAAGCAGGTCGCATTTATTATCCGATTGAGATGAAATTTTGCAAACAACATTTGTTTGGCCCAAGGACGAACCCTATAGAAATTGGAGATAATCGGTAAAAATTGAGATATAGCTCCCATATATATCTTCGTCCGATTTGCCTTTTATTGTGCACCAAACGTGTAATATCAGCCCGAATAGTATGGAATTTTGCACATACAACCAAATTAGGCCTGAAAATAAGTATGCCAAATTTTATCGAAATCGGTTCAGATATAGCTATAGCTCCCATATATATTGTTCATCCGATTTGTTATTTTTACCATCCGCAGCCGTAATATGCACTCTGTAACAACAATATTTGGGGAAATATATCAAATGCAGCTCAGAAATACCTTTGCTAAATTTTATGGTTCAGATTTGGATATAGCTCCCATATATAACTTTGTCCGATTTACCATTTATTGTGCACCAAACGTCTAATATTTGTCCAAATGGGATGGAATTTGGCACATACGACCGAATTGAGTCTAGAAGGTAGTATGCCAAATATTTTTATCCGATTTCAAACTAATTTCGCACCAAATGGGCAATACAAGTCCGAATTTAAAAGATACAAATGCTTCGGCATATTTAGTCCTTTGAATTTTAAATTATAATTATAATCATAACGTGTATGATTAATTCTCCCATAAAAACTTTTAATTATTAAGTGGAGCTCAACTAAATTAGCAAAGTGGTGTAGGGTATCATAAAATCGGCCCCGCCCGACTTTAGGACATTCTTTACTGTTTTTTTTTTTTTAAATCATCTTTTAAACAAAATAGTAGCAAGTCAAAATATTCTACAAAAACATTTGTCTACTATAAGTACTGAAATACTTATTCTTAAATACTTAAACGTAAGGAATTCATATATACAAAAAAAAAAAAACGACAACAAAGTCAAACGCCATAAATGTTGCTCTGCTATATTTTGGTTCAATCCCGGCGAAGCGCTTGCTTGAGGAGATCGACACTTTGGTATTTTTTAGTGCCAACCTTGCTTTCCAAAATATTCTAGACGCAATAGTCCAACGGATTGGTATCCGGAGATTTTGGTGACCATTGTGCGCTGGAAATGAGGCGAGGAACTTCATTTTGTAACCATTCTTGGGTGGCGCGTGCTGAGTGTGATGGTGCTGAGTCCTGTTGGAATGTCCAAGGTCTGCGGACAAAATGTTTGCGTGCCCAAGGCTTTAATACACCCTCCAGAATATTTTCGCGATAATATTCGTCATTTAGTCTGATGCCCCGGTCAATTATTACGAGCGGAGAGCGACCATCGGCTGTTATGGCCGTCCATACCATCACTATGGCCGGCCCTTGAGTGGCCATCCGAAGGTGCACATTTTCAGCTGACCTGCTGGACAACGAAAGTTTTCTCATCGGAGAAAACTAAATTCGGAGAAAACTAAATTCACCACTTTCGGTCAAACGAAGCTACTCTTTAGCTCTTTTGAGTCTATTTTCTTTCTGTTGCGGTGTATGTTCTTGCACTTTTTGGAATTTCAATAGCTTCTAACCGAGCTCATTTTTCAATATATTGCGATATGTTCAGCTTGCGAGCCATTTTTCGGCCATTGCGACCCGGGTTTCGATTAAGTCGCTCCTTCATTTCTGCTGATGTTGCTCTTTTCTTTCGTCGGGCTACGCTACCAGTATCACGGTGACGAGCGATGGTACGAGACACACAAGATTTATACACATTTAAATGCTGGAGTGCTCTAACGATAGCCACTTGTGGTTTTCTAGCCAAATATAAAGAAATCACACTATCACTCTTGAATTCCATCACGAATAACTTTTTTCTGGAAAAATTCTAACCAAAATGCTTTTGTATGCTTGTAAACAATATAATGAGTTGTCACTGGAATAATTTTAACAGCTGTCGGACAAGTGACTCGAAGTGACAGCAGTCTGAAGTTGGTTGCAGTTTTTACATTTCACCCTGTATATATTAAAAAGGCATTTTAGGTTTGAAGCCGTACCTTATGTGAGTTGAGCAAAAATCTCCAACAAAACTTTATTCTAGACTTCAAAGACAAAAATATTCTTCATCAAAGGTTGCTATAAGTCATCAAAGAAAAGTAATCTCTATTTTCACTGTAGGTCACAAAAATTTTTGCACCACTGTTTCCACAAAAAAAAAAAAAAAAAAAAAAAATTCCCTACTTTTTTTTTTGAAAAAATTTTCCTCGGACTTTTTTCGACTAGGCGCCTGAAAGTATCATTAAGTTTCATTTGAGGTGGAAGTTGTCAAAGGAAGAAATATTCTGCACAACATTTTACTATAAATTTCAGAATAAATCATGTATCTATTTATAACGGTTTTTATGAAAATTACATTAAAAAAAAATTATGTACTAAAGATTTTACTGTTAAATGTTAAAAAAGTTAAAGAAAATTGATGCAAATATTTTTATTGGTATAAAATAAATATAGATATTTCTATTGTGTGGTGACTTATAGTGAAATTTTGTGAAGAACTTTTGTGATTTTATAGGCATCGTTCTAGAATGAAGTTTTGTTGGAGATTTTTTCACAAACTCACAAAAAGTACTACTTTTAATATATACTAAAATTTAATATATATGAATTCCTCTCGTTTAGGTAAGATTTAGACTTTTGACGTCTTCTAGGGCCCATAGTAGAAGTTAATAACTAATAATTTCATAGATTAGTTTGACCTGCTGTTTAAAGGGAGTTTTTAACCATATTTAAGAGAAGGGCTAAAAGGATCCTCGCTTGAGGCCCAAAATATTTCTCGTATTTTTATCTGCAATATTGTTGAATACACTATAGGGTTAAAATATACGGATTCCGAGGAATCTTTATGCTTAAATGAAAAAAAAGTGTAGAAGAGGGGTGAACTTAACGCCTCTATTTCGATTACTTTTCTATGTAGACCTTCAAAATACCGATACACGTTTCTTCTTTCTGTAAATCGACTTTTATAATCTGCCAGATTTTCCCTATAATTATAAAGAAAAATTAAATTTATCTAACAGTGTAATGCATCTTCAAAACCGCATAAATATATTCTACAATTTAAAACCTCATATTTAGATTGAAACAATATTATTTGATTATACAATTATTATCTTTTATAACTCTCCATACACCAACAAAATACAAATTTAATGATGCAACAATTTTTAAGGGCAAAAGTCAGGAAATTATGTTCAATTTTTGAAAGCTATCAAATTAACAACATCCTTCTTACGTACTTGCGAGGAGGGTGAATTCGAACACAAAAACAATGAGAAAAAATCTCCAGCGAACAACACGTGTTGTTTGAAAGCCATTGCAAAATGTAAAATAATGCGCATATTTCAACAGACATTATTTTATTTCACTTTTCAACTGAACGCCAGAAATATTCCTGTTACCATGCCTTGTTTGCGAAAAAGTGGGGAGCGGGCGAAGTGAGATAAACAATACTCCTGAGGTTGTACGTTACTAAATTCGGGGAAAGCTATTGAATTTCCTCCTCCAACACAAAGACAGACACAAAACAAGCACTATCAATGCTACAATGATGTGGTGCTGCTTCCCCTAAGAGGATGACATTTATGTCCTCATGTTGGCAACAATTCATGCATTCTTCTTCATCTATTATTTATAATGATGATTCTTTATCTGTTACATTGTTTTGTGCTCACATTAAAGCATTAAATTTAGCGAATTATTATCGAAAGAACGAAGAGCATATCTGGCTGGCCTGGGGAAAAAAAATTGATAGGGGAGGAAGTTTGGCATCACAGCAAGGTAAGTGATTTCGCTTTTTAAGCGGCATAATAATAAATTTTTATATTTAATTTGATAAATGTAGATATTCTATTGCTGAAAGTATTTTGCCATTAACAAAGCATTTGTGTAACATGATTTTTTTTTAAATAATGATTTTTTACTATGTAATACTAACATTTATCGTTGAAATATGCAATAAAAGTATTTGAGGGGTATATAAATAAAATTTCATTTTTTTAAAATTTAAAAATAAACACAAGGCGAAATGAGCTTTGAGGGTTATAGGTAAAGAAGGCGTTAGGTTCGTCCGTTCAGTTTTTCATTATGTTGGATGGTTAAAACCATCAAAATACCGAATATGCTGTGGCATCATAGCGTGGCCGGTATCAAACACTATGACTTTGAATATTTACTTAAAAGTCGAAATATTACATTGTAAACAATATTCGTAAGAGATACCTTAAATCGGTAAAAGTCACACCGTGTACCTATATTAACCTTTATTTTTTATGGAAAATAAGGTGCGTAAAACGATCTATAAACACCTAAATACATATAATTCCGAATACTGAATACGATACTGTGAAGATTTATACCCTCCACTGAATTTTTTTTCTATACCCAACACCATATAGTGGTAAGGTTGTTATGTCTTTGTTCATTTGTTTGTAACATGGAGAAGGAAGCGAGATAAACCTACAGGGTGAGATAAAAAACTACAACCAACTTCAGACTACTGTCATTTCTAAACCGCTCGTCTGACAGCTGTTAAAATTATTCCAGTGACAGCTCATTATATTGCTTACAAGCGTACAAAAGCATTTTGGTAAGAATTTTCCAGAAAAAAAGTTATTCGTGATGGAATTTAAGCGTGATAGTGTGATCTCTTTATATTTGGCTGGAAAATTACAAGTGGCTATCGTTAGAACACTCGAGCATTTAAATGTGAATTAATCTTTTGTGTCTCGTTCCATCGCTCATTACCGTTATACTGCTAGCGTAGCCCGACATCAAGATAGTGGACGGAATAAAACAGCAACATCAGCAGAAATGGTTCAAAAAGTAAAAAAGCGACTTCATCGAAACCCGGGTCGTAGTGACCGAAAAAATGTCTCTTGAGCTGAACATATCGCAATATTACATACGGCAAATATTGAAAAATGAGCTCGGGGTAAAGCCATTGAACTCCAAAACAGAAGTTCAGAAAGAAAATAGACTCAAAAGAGGTAACGAGTTGCTTCGCTTGGGCGAAAGTGGTGAACTGCCGAATTTGGTTTTCTCAGTTTGTAAACAAACAAAATGATCGTGCTTACTTGCCAAAGAGGTCAGCTGAAAATGTACACCTTCGGTTGGCCACCAGAACTCAAGCGCCGGCCATGGTGATGGTGTGGACCGCCATAATAGCCGATGGTCGCTCTCCGCTCGTTTTAATCGATTATGGCATCAAAATAAATGCCGAATATTATTACGGAATAATATTCTGGAGGGTGTATTAAAGCCTTGAGCAAGCAAACATTTTGGCGGTATACCTGGACATTCCAACAGGAGTCAGCACCATATATATTTTATGAGTTATGGCGTCGGATTCAGCAGATAGAGCATCGTCGTCCTATGGACAGGCAATGCCAAAACCTAAGCCAACACCCATTGGTGATTTCGCAAGTATAGAAGACTTTACAAAAAAGGATTAACTGATATTATGGTAGCAACAACAATGGACTATTGTGTCTGGAGTATTTTAGAAAGTATGGTTGACACTGAAAAATATCAAAGTGTCGATCACCTCAAGCAAGCGGAATGGGCCAAAATGCCGTAGAGAAGCGTGTTACGGTTTCATAGGCCCTTAGAAGGCCATAATTCGTGCCAAAGGTGACCAATTCGAAGAAATCTAAACTTTTTTGAAATTTGATGTTTTTTCCGACATTTTTTGCTTTCATTCAATAAAATAATAAAATAAATGTAAAAATTATAGCGTTTGACACTGTTGCAATTTTTTTTATCTCTCCCTGTATATTTCATCCGATTTGGGGTTTTAGTCCCTAACATTCGTTACATGCACTCCACAAGAATGGTATTTAGTACCTGATATCAGATACAGCCCAGAAATACCTCTACAAAATTCTATAAAGATCGGTTCAGATTTGGATATAGCTCCCATAAATATCTTCAACCGATTTCGGGTTAATTGAGCAACAAACGACCAATATCGGTCGCAATGACCAGAATTTTGGTATATCCGACCGAATTCAGTTTAGAAGTACATCAAATTTGAAAATATCGGTTCAGGTATGGTTATAACTCTCATATATATATGTTTTATCTGATTCAGGGTTTAAGTCTCTCGCACTCGTAATATGCATTCGACAACAATGATATTTGGTACCAGATATCTTATAGAGCTTGGAAATAACTTTGCCAAATTTCGAAATCGGCAAAGATTTGCATATAAGTCCTATATATATATTCTTAATCGGATTTCAAGTTTATTGTGTAAATAATGGCTAATATCAGCCCAAATGGAGTGAACATCAGAACTTACGTTTCCATTTGGCGTAACTCGGTTCCGATATATATTTTTATAACATAAGTGAATAAATGCTCTCTATAGCAATGGTATTTGGTGGAAAATATAAAAAATAATAAATTTAGTGATTATCGATTCAGAATTGGATTTGCCTCCCATATATTAGTTTCCTCTGAAACCAAATTATAGCTGGTCTAAAGCCAAATGTGATCTACTTCAAATAAATTATTTTGTTACGGGAGCTCTACTAAATATGCATAGTAGTGTAGGGTATCATATAGTCGGTCCTGCCCGACTTTTGACATTACCTTAATGGTTTATTATTGTACGTGTTTTCAAAATGTCAATATGAGTAAATATTTCAAAATAAATAATTTATTTTCTTTTATTTTATTTGCAGATATAATTTAATTAAAACCACGTTCAAAGACAAGTAATTTCTTAAAACAACTATAAGTCAAATCAATTTAAAAATGCCTTGCGGTTTTTTCTTATCTTATCAACTTTTGCTGTTACGGCCTTAAAACTTGGGGCCTTGAACTCAATGAAGGGCTCTTATATAGCAAATCGTTGAACATAAACAAAAAAATGTCAATTCACAATTTAAGTGTCACGTAAAAATAGTAATGAAAACGGATCCGATTCACGCAAATTATTTTTTTTTTAAGAACATAATGGAAAAATATGAAAGACTCAACAACGTCTTTCATTCAATGATAAAATAAATACAAAACACTTATACAAAAACGTATACAAAAGTAATTTTTTCTTGTTTTTGGAATCGGAGTAACGAAAATTACTGACTGTATTGAACCGAAAATACCAAATTAAAAACCAAAACTTACCGTCGACTACTTAGTATAATTGGTGAAAGGATTATCTCTAAACTGGAGGAAATATTTTGATTTTGATTTTGTAACTGATTTTGTGGGGTTTGCATATCATTGGATGCTGTTGTTGTTCCGGACGCCGCATTCGATGATGACGATGATGATATTGAAGATGATGCTGATGATGGCATTGACGATACTGTCGACAACACATTCACGCCGGCACTGGATGCCACTTTGCCGCCACTGGGGGAACTACCAAATGCATTGCTGGTTTTAGGGATTTGGGGAGAATTTAAATTGGAATTTGAATTGGAATTGCTATGTAAATTTTCAATTTTCTGCATGTCCTGCATGGGGGAATTATTATGCTGATGCTGTGTGTTAGTGGTGGCTGGATCTGTGGCATTGGTCGGAAGTGTGGCTGTATTATTGCAATTTGTGGTGCCGGTAAATGATGATAAGGGCTGTGTCGTAATAACTATATTATTGCTATTCATGGACGTGGATGTGGCAGCAGGATTGTTGGTTGTGATTGGGACAATATTGGTGCTTATGGTATGGGGCGGATTCATGCTACTATTATGATGATGCATGACAGTATTAGCATTGGGGGATAATAAGTCGGGTTGCTGTGCATTTGCATTTGTTGGCGATGGATATTGCCATTGAGTGTTGTTGTTGGCATTGCAATTATCTAAATTAATACGATGGGCCACAGACATCGATGAGTGGCCAAATTCCTCTACCTGATCTCTGTCGACACTTTCGGGTGTTTGAATTTCGGGACTGTTGTTGTTATTGTAATTATTATTATTGTTGGTAGTTGAAGTGCCATCATCATATTCATCATAGGAGACTTCATCACTCTTATCATCATAGCTATCATTTAGAAGATTATCGTGCCGCTGATGCTGTCCAATTTGATGGTGATCATCACAATCATCTTCTGTGTGACTGGGCTCCTCATCAATCTCCTCTAAGTCATCTTCACTACAGGTTGTCGACATTGAATGGGATGTTGAATTGTTTGTTCCGTTTGCCTGAAGCCTATCATTGCCAATTGTATTGGTTGTGGTGCTACAGGTGGTTGTGTTGGTGGTTGTGATAGACTACAGGGTTTTTGATTTGCAAATATGGTATATAGTTTTTTTTTTTCAAATTCAAATACAAAAGAAGAACAAAACAAGAACAATATAATGTATAATGGGGGGAAGAAACAAGAACACATAAGAAATTGGGATTTACCAAACTGTCATTGAAATGTTTGAAATAGATATGTATTGTATTTTTTTTACATGGACAATAAACAACATCAAGAGGTCAATGAAAAAAATATGACATGCACATTCTGGACTTTAAAAAAATTAGGACAACATTCTTAGGGTCATGGACAATCATGCTATTTATAGAAAATGTTCTTAATTCTATTAAGACACTGTTCATAAATTACAAATAGTTTAACACACAACATACTAAAATAAAATTATTAACATATTTTATTTATTTATATATATTTATCGTGCACACAAATCTATTAATATATTGATTTAATTTTTTTTATTGCTTAAATTTGTAAATAAATATTTTTTTCGAAATTAAATATATATTTTATTCAAATATATTAATATTTTAGGGAAAAACTAATTAATGTATACAATACACAAAAAACGTCTCTTTAATTTATATCTACAATTTTATGTTTTCATACAAAAAACATATAGCGCCACTTAAGATATTTCAGAGACAGGGCCACATGTAATATGAATAAATTTAAACAGGCGTATACTTTATGATAACACGTATACGCCATGATACGTTGGAATTGGAAACGCAATTGCCATGATGTATACTTTATGGCAATACGTAAACTCTTTGATACCGATTTGTAACTGACTTCCAGACTCATAATATTTTACCGAGAAAATCCCAATCCTTCAATTTTCGTTTTTCTAAGGATAATTTGATGGCATTTTTCTAACGAATTCTAGCTAATTTTTTCTGAAAGACTCTTAGAGCTATTAGCGTGGATTTCTAAAAAAACAGTTTTATAGTAATTTTCTGAGCTAAATTCATCGACTTTTAAATTAGTTTTTCGAAGAGTGGATTTTTTAAATATTTTTTATGAAGCATTTTCTGAAGATATCCAAGACCCATAAATATGGATTTTTAAAGGAATTTTGATGGATCCATTCCTATGCGACTTCAAGACCCACAAAAATGGATTTCTAAAAGATTTTTTTATATGGAACAATTTCTGAGGGACTTTAAGACCCATAAAGGTTGATTTTTTATCAAGCAATTTTTAGGGATTTTTAAAGGAATATTTACAAAAGGACCTTCTGGTCTTATATATGAAAAACTTTGAAGACCCTCTTGTCTTCTATGAGAGGATCCTATGGTCTTCTATGAGAGGACCCAATGGTCTTGTATGAGAGCACCCTATGGTCTTCTATGAGAAGATCCTATGGTCTTCTATGAGAAGACTTATGGTCTTCTATGAGAAGTATCTATGGTCTTCTATGATAAGACCTTTTGATCTTTTATGGAAAGACCTTCTATTTTATACGGAGATCTCTTTCCTAGTTTACCTTGTAAGTGGCTATCGTTAGAGTTCTCCAGCATTCAAATGTGAATAAATCTTTTGTGTCGTACCATCGCTCGTTACCGTGATACTAGTAGCGTAGCCCGACGTCAAGGAAGTGGACGGAAGAAAATAGCACCATCGCACTCAGCGCCACCCAAGAATGGTTACAAAATGAGGTTCCTCGTTTTATTTCCAGCGCTCAGTGGCCAACAAAATCTCCGGATAACAATCCGTTGGACCATTGTGTCTGGAGTATTTTGGAAAGCAAGGTTAACACTTAAAAATTACAAAGTGTCGATCACCTCAAGCTAGCGCTTCGCCGGGAATGGGTCAAAATGCCGCAGAGCAACATTCGGGCAGCGTGGGATGGTTTCATTGGCCGTTTGAAGGGCATAATTCGAACCAAAGGTGACCAATTCGAACAAATCTAAACTAATTCTAAAATTTGATGCTATTTCCGACATGTTTGCTTTCATTCGATAAAAGTTAAAAAAATGTAAAAATTAAATATGGCGTTGACTTTGTTGCAGTTTTTTATCTCACCCTGTGTACGTGGATATTTAAAGGAATATTAATGCATAAAAATACCTTCTTATCTTTTATATGAAATCCTTCGAAGACCTTTTGTCTTCTATAGGAAGACCCTATGGTCTTCTATGACAGCACCCTATGATTTTCTATGAGACGATCCTATGGTCTTATATAAGAGGATCCTATGGTCTTCTATGAGAAGATCCTATTGTCTTCTATGAGAAGATCCTATTGTCTTCTATGAGAAGATCCTATAGTATTCTATGAAAAAATCCTATGGTCCTCTATAGGAAGATTCTATGACAAGATCTTCTGTTCTTATCTGATCTCTTGCCTAGTTTACCTTATATTCTGTAGGAAGAACATCTGCCTTTCTATAAGAAGAATTATAGTTCTTTTATGAAAATTCTATATTGTCTTTTAAAGAATAGTGTTATTATATGTTTTTATTTAAAAAAAGAAAACAAGTAAAAAATTAAGTTCGGAGGTTTTTTGAGCACCCTCTACCACAAATTTAAAGAAAGCCTTTAAAATTATACTGTCGGGATTCAAAATTCGAACGAGTCTTCAACATATCATAGAATGTGCTTGTACCGTTTCATGGTACTGTACCAAAACCTAACAAGATTATTTGCTATTACAGGGGTTAGTATTAAATATCACATAAATATCACATTACAAGTATTAAATATCACATTTTTTCAAAATAAGTGGTCTACATCATGAAAATACCGAATATCAAAAGGTACCGTTATGTGGTGCATTATGTGAAGTCCTATAAAGATCTCTTCCTCTTTGAGAAATTTTTATGTACTTAGAACTTTGAATATTATATTTCAAACCATTTTTTTGTGTGTTTGGAATATGTATCTACAATAATCAAAATAACGAATATTGAGAAGTACCCTTATATGGGGCTATGCGAAACCATAAAAATTCTAAACAAAATTTGAGTCGTGCTTTAACACAGATGGTAAGAATTTAACACTGAAAAATATATTAAATGCTTGTTTCGATAAGATACAAATGGAATAACAAACTCAATATGCCCATCATAACGATCGGCGTTGTATTAAAAGCTATATTAAATATTAAAGTTTAAAGGGATTATGTTCAGTTTTTCCCCAGCATTTCTCCATTTATTCTAAAACTGAACTACGGTGCGTATGATTGAGTCAAATTTAAGTTAATTCAAGTAACGTATACGCCACAGTTTTTATTATAGTCACCAAGCTTTTTTCTAATTAAATAAAAAAGTATATTATTTATCAAAGTATTTTCATTGTGAGAAAGTTAATTAAATATTTATTTTGTATTATTTCCATAATATCTTAATTAATCAAATCAAATGAAAAATAAAAATTATTCCCATTAAATATTTTCGGACGAAAAATTCCATTCATTTGACTAAAGATGTTCAAGTCAAACGAAAACAATGTCACGTATTTCAGCAAGAATTAATGAGTTGGAATTCATATGAAATTGAATGGAATTTCGATATATGTATAGAAAGAACAGAGAATGTGATTTTTTTGCTTGATATGTGGAAGTAGATGAATTCCTTTGCTCTATGTGCTATTGTACTTATTTCTTACAAAATAACAGCTCGATTGAGATTGAATATGATTCTCTATCTAAATTGTTGTTCGTCATATGATGTGCTGGCAGGGGACGAAGAAGGACAACAGGAAATCATTGAGAAAATAAGTTATAATTTACAATGATTGGGTCATTGAATTATTTTTTATTTTACTCAAATGTATATGTATATTTCTGCAGGACATTTGGTATTGAAAATGGGCCATGTAGGTCCACGTATAGCCTCCATTTAATGGTACCTCCCTATATTCGGTATTTTGGTGATTTAAGCGATATTATTTACCGCAAATACTTCAAATTTGGTATTTGAAGTTCTTAATGGAATGGAAGTTCGTAACAGAAAATTGTCTGTTCAAATCCACGTCTTCGTATAGCCCCCATATAACGGTACTTCCCGAAGTTCGTTATTTTGATGATTTTAGCGACATTATTCACCGGAAATGTTCAAGAAATGTCAAATTTGGCATTTGAAGCCTAAGAAAAGAATTGTCTGTACAGGTCCACGCCTTCGTATAGTCCCCATACAACGGTACCTCCCGATACCCATTATTTTGATGATCTTAGCGACATTATTTATCCGATTGTTTTCAAATTTTGTATTTGAAGTTCGTAATGGATACTACAGCTAAAGACAAAAAATTGTGAGTTCAGGTCCACGTCATCGTATAAACGGTACCTCCCGATATTTTGTATTTTGATGATTTTAGCGACATTATTCACCGGAATCGTTTCAAATTTGGTATTTGAAGTTCGTAATAGATACTCCAGCCTAATACAGAAAATTGTCTGTGCAGGTTCACGTCTTCGTATAGCCCCCATATAACGTAACCTCCCGATATTCGGTATTTTGGTCATTTTAGCGATATTATTCACCGGAATTGTTTCAAAGTTGGTATTTGAAGTTCGTAATGGATATTACAGACAAAGACAGAAAATTGTCTGTGCAGGTCCACGTCTTCGTTTAGCCGCCATATAACGTAACCCCCCGATATTCGGTATTTTAATGATTTTAACGACATTAATAATAAGAAATGGATACTACTGCCTACGACAAAAAGTTGTCTGTGCAGGTCAATGTTTTAGTATAGCAACCATATAATGGTACCTCCCTGTATATATATTTTTTGATGATTTTAGTTTCTTTATTCGCCAATTTTTTCAAGTTTCGCATTTGAATATTTTAATGGCTTATGATAAAATTTGCCTATGCAGGTCCACGACTTTGTATAAGCCATAATATAACGGCTACATTCGGTATTTTTTAAGAATTAAGAGAATTTTTAACGGATTTTATATTTGTAAGCCCGGCCGAACTTACAGGGTTTTTACTTCTTTTTTTATACCCTCCACCTAAAAAGTATGGAGGGTATATTAAGTTCGTCATTCCGTTTGTAA